AGCTGCAGTACAACGATTTTAATCCGTCCTCATTTGGTGAGATCGACAAACGAATCTCTTCATCATGTACTTTCATTCGAAATGAAGTTCGCCCTGACAACGTGTCAAGCTCACATGCTGCATTGTCACGGTTCGACTCCCGCTGGGGGTGTTGCTAAGACCGAGACGAGGTCGAAACTGCAGTCCACTCCAGCCGGGATGAGAACAAGTTTTGGGAAAGCAGGGCCATGTGAAATTGAATGGAAACGTCAGCTCTACTCACATCATTGTGGGAAAATTCTACTGCCAGTCCTTCACCGCCTCAAACGAAATAGGATGAGAGCAACTCGTGCATCTCATTTACTGGCAGTCGCTGAAATCTACCCACTCGCGAAAACTGTAGGTCTCGTAAAATCTATTTATTTCCATAAGTCTGTCTATCGTGTCCACGAAGTTCTTGCACAACTTCTCGGCCCTCTTCTTATTGACCTCAACACAGCCTCTGTTCCGCTGATTTCAATGACAGCTTGTCTTTGGCTTGTCAGCAGAAATGCCATGTCCAGCCAACCGATAGATTTGCCGTCGGGCCAGTTCATTCGTTTAGTGGAATAGGGTAGACCGGTTTCAGAAGACGCATGCATTTGCCTGAACAAGCGTCAGCTGAAGGAAATGTGCAAGAATCAAGTTGAGCTCAAAGAAGGCTTGTCATGTGGAATGGCAGACGAGAAAATTGGTTTGTCGACACCCCAACCGACTCTGGCAACAAACTCCGATGGCACCAAACACAATCCGATCTGAGACTAAATTATCTCCAATAATGCTCTAGCAAGAGGCCCATTGTCCCAAATGTACACGAATCTCTTACATGAATTGACACAAACCTTTAAATTCGCAAGAACTGGGTCCTCGAGACTATCAATAGATCGTAAATAGGAAAAAAACATTTCCAGCTTAATTGTGTTGGCTTACCTTCCAGCGACATTTGGAGTTGCGGGACGAAGATATTCGCAAATTGGCCTTCGCGAAAGCCGAAGGAGACTTTTCTCAGAGCCGTGATTCACCGTTCTGCGACTCTAATAAGTCCTGTAGAGTGTTCGTCTGTCCAGCTGTACCAGACAGCCTCAGAACCAGAAACCATAATTTACGAACAATTTCCCTAAAATGCTAAACCATGCTCTACATTCAAATAATGCAGTTTTTGAGACCTTCATCAGTTCTCGCTTTGGCTCTATCTCTCTATTTGTTTAATTTTCTGGCCATCCATCTCTATATCTCTCTATTTCGATATATATATATTTTTTAATATTTACATTTATATCTTTCTCTCACTCTGTTTCTCTTTCTCTCTCTATTTCTCCATCTATT